TAAAAAATAAAAATTGTTTATTTTCTTCTCATAGAGATCGGGGAATTTTTTCAGAATTTTGTATTAACTTTTTAGTACTGCATTTTTTGCGTTTTCTTGTATTTTCTTGAAATTATAAAAAGATAATACAAAATTCTGAAAAAATTCTCAGAACTCTATGAGAAGAAAATAACTTTTGAAAATAACTTTTGAATCTCCTGAAAATAACTTTATAATCTAACCTATCAACTTCAACGCATGCGCACAGAGGGCGATAGGAACATATAGCTTTCTCTCTCGCACACATTTTGAACATACTTTCGTGCAAGTATTCTCCCTCCATGTATATATGCTCTAAGCTTACGACTCTACTATTTCTATTGTAGACCCCGCTTAACTTTAATTTTAACCAGATTTAATACCCAATTCAGCAATGCGGCTAAAAAGAACAGACTAAAGATCGTATTTATATTTAACATTTAACTTTTTTGATATTATTTGGACCAGGAAGAAAAGAAAAAAAAATTACTTTTCAAGAATATAGATAAGAGTATTATATCCCATATAGCCACAAATAATCTTAAGGAAGACTGAAGGTACAGTAATAATAAGTTATCGAATAGAAAAAAAGAAAGTAGTATAATCATGATTCTCCACTGACTGTGTGTGCAATACAATAAACGATAATAAATAAAAAATGTTCTTTTTGTAATATTTAAATAATTTCAGGAACTTATATATGAATATTATATATTTTTACAAATATATATAAAAATAATCTTAAACTTAATAATCTTATCTTAATATCTTTAAGATATGTTATATAAAACAATGTCATAAAGACACCTTTAATTTAAACATAAACTTTTTAAAGATTATTAGAATATCTTTTTGACAAATTTATAAATCGTTTTTAAGACATCATATTGTTATCTGTGCGTGCGTGTGTGTGTGTGTGTGTAAGTGAGAAAGAGAGATATTAACATATTCACTACTAGTATCTCACACACACACACCCACACGCACATGCACACACACACACACAAAACACAATGATCTCTCACAAAAAATTAAGATCAAATATGTGTAATAGCAAATTTTTTTTTCTATAAACATTATTAAATTAAACTTGTTTTATAAAAGGAGGAACAAAGAATGAAGTAGCTGTAGAGAGAGTTTATCAAATAAATTAATAGAAGATGTGTTAGGGATGCTGAAGTCAATGACAAATTCTAGTAATATCAATAATACAGAGACAATCGTCATAACATAATCACGCTATCTTTTTTTGTATACAGAATTTATGTAAATATGTATTGCTTTATTTTACCATATTCAATTGAAAACCTAGCTACACACATGTGTAGAAATCTTTCTGCAAACTTTTCGGATATTTTTAAGCTTCTGAATTTAGTTGCGAAGGTACAGTGATGTTCTTCAAAAATTTTTTTGTTTGAAACATCCATATTTTGATATGTACAAACTGCAGAACTTTTATATTAGATGAATATTATATTGACAGCTTGAGATTTTACATTTGAAATCTTTTTTTCATTTTCACCACATATTAAGTAATACTCCTATTTATTTTTGTACATACTTTCATTGCTTAAAAGTATTTGTAATTCTGTACAATCAATATGATGTGAACTTTTAGAAAAATATCATTCTGTCAGTAGTTATCAACTTCAGCATCTTTTTAATATAGTGATCTTAAGTAAATATAAGATATTTTTCTGCTTATATATGTATATATGTATATGTATGTGTACATATATACATACATTTATATCTTGATAGATAATACTAACATAATTAAAAGCTGCTAAATATACTTCTTCAAATGTTACACAAATATATATATATATATATATATATATATATATAT